CTGCTTTTCACCTACCTGCAGAAAGAATTTGCATTTAACCGAGTTTTAAGCTCCTCAGCCAATAGCGATGCCGCAGTGCGAGCCACATGCTGGCTTTGGGAAGCAACAGCAACACCCCAATAGGCAGCGAATGGTCATTGCCTAAAACACTAGTGTGAAACTAAAACGAGATCAAATCCCAAAATTTGATTATCCGGGGTCTTATCCTGCTGGCCTGGGGCAGCGTCCCCACGCCCTCCAGTCAGGCCCCTGGCTAACGGCTGACCGGTGGCTTGTCCTTTCTCTCACCTTCTCCCCAAGGAGAGCACTACGCACAGCAAGCGTTTTGATGGGTTTTGTGTGTGTGTGTGTGCGTTAAATACACGTGCACACTGATTGGAATGGGCCATGAGAGAGAAGGTGCTTGGCCAGCCACATTTCTTTCAGGTTTATTTCCAAACACCATTAATGGGACTTGCACATGATTATGAAGGGGAGAATTCGCCCAGAAAGGAAGAGACTACTGTGTGTGGGTTGAAAGAAACCCACGCCGATTAAGCGAAAGCTAATCCGTACTGCTTTGTGTCCCTCCCTCTCGGCCAAGAGCAGCCCTAGATGAGCTGCCGGCAACTGGTGCCCTAGGCGAAACGCGCGATTGGCGCGCAATCAGCGCCCCCACCTCCAAAGCCCTCAATGGCCATTTATCTTGGCGCCCTAGGCAACCGCCTAGTTCGCCTGTATTGACAGGCCACCACTGCTCTCGGCAGAGGCATAACACCATCTACAAACCAACAACATCATCTGAAGATTTGGTGAAACCCCAACTCAGTTCTTTGGGGCTCTCCTAGGGCTCCTTTCATTCATTTTAGTGTTGCTGGTCAGCAGAATCCTGGATTTCTCTATGTCCCAGCTGTATTAAAGCCTCATGCATATAGCGCAGTATTTTAGGACAACTAGCCATTCACTCCAGAGACATTACAAGTGGCATCATTCATTATTCACACACTCGAGCGGGGGTTCCAAAGGCCACTGAAATCAGGCTCTGAACTTTCTCTAAGTGCTTGGAAAATTCCTGCAAAAATAAAAGGGTTAGGTCAAGGCCACACCGGGTTGGCATTTCCTCTGTGCAGCTTGGGCCAAGTCTCCACTGCAACACAAGTGGCTTTTAAGCTATTGCACAGCAAGATCCTTGTAGACACAAGGCAGTGTCGCTTTCACTGCGGATACATCGGTGAGCTCAGCCCCAGGAGAGGGCCGGTTGGATCTCCCCTAGCTACCTCACAACAAACAGTCAGGAGATCCTGCCACACATTCCTTATCCCAGGCTAAAACACACAGGGGTTGGGAGGGGAGGACAAAGCCTAGAAATTTGATTCCAGCTTTTCTGTCCTTTTCAGTGCTGTATGGTAATGATCTTCCCACGAGGCCCTGGGAGAGCACGGAGGGGACTGATGGAGAATGGTGCTACCTACAAGTTAGCCGCTAGAAGGTTCACCTGGTCTCGCTCTGGTTGTTCATTTGAGTCAGTGCTCTGGGGAGGGGCTGGTTCAGTGTGCAAGCTGCCCTGGGGAGAGACCCACCTCTGCATGGCCACTCAGCTGCAGCAGGCACAGTGGGGGGGGGGGGGGGGGGGGGGAGAGCTTCAGCCCCTCCTCCCTGCCTGCTGATTCCATCTCTTTTCTGTACGGCTGTATGAGAAGCAACCCCATTCCAGGCATGTCCACTGCCCTGGCACAACCACACCCTGCCCTTGCTTTCAGTTCTGATAAGAGGAAGCCAGATCCTGAATTTCGTGGTCCTAGCTCTTACCACTGAGGAGGCATTTTTAACAGGCAGACATTCTCAAGTGTATAGTAGATTTCTTAGTGAATAGGCCTTTTTGTTAAAGGGAACGTTACATCTGCTCAAATACATGCTGTTTCCTGGGGACGTGGATAATAGGCCCCGCTAGCCTCCACGCCAAATGCTCCATCTCAATAACCTTTACCTGCTAGCAACACTACTAAATACAGGGCCACATTTCACCGTTCCCAAGTACCTCCTGGGATTGACTCAGAGCCCATGTGAGGTGCCTGGCAGAATGGCACCTCTTTGCACCAGTGCCAATGACCCCACGACATACAAGGCAGCAGGCAGGGCTCCGTGTGGGAAATCCACAGTGCCACGAGGTGGTAGCTGCGTCCACGGGAGATGCCTTGTGGTCTACACCCGGAGATGGGTCCGTGTCATGTTTCGCCCCAGTTACAGCCACACCTGCAGTGCAGACCCAGCATCCACAGTGACACCGCTAGGCAAGGGCAGCACCTCTCGGAGCACTGGCCAATACCTGTCCGGGAGGACGTGGCAGGACATGGAGGCCAGGGGCCGCGGCTCGCTCTGGACCGGAGTCCAGCGATGGACATTGACACAAGGCACCTGCTTCCCCTCAGCCTGGGCTCACGAGTCTGCAGGGCCACAACTGCTGAGCCCTCGGATTGCCCCGCAGGGCCTGTCCATCCAAGGGGGGGAGCCAGGCCCTACTCCCACCTTCAGCCTGTGGGAAGAGGG